AGCATCAAACAACTCCATCCACCCCGCGGCCGGTAGCCAGCGTGGGCGAGGAGCCCAGCGCCGAGCCCGTCTTCAATCTCCCTCTCAAAATCACCTGCTAAGGCAACAAAACCTGCAGCTAGTGCCAGCGTAGGATTCAGAGCTGATTTTTTTTAACTGCTGGGTGCTGTAGCTCGTTAAACTCATTTAATCCATTCCCCAATACTGCAACTCCAACAAGGTACAGCCTGGGTTTACATGTAGATGCTAAAGTTTATCAAGCGTTGCCATTTCCTCCCAAATGCTCTTGAGTGATGGTCAGCTGGGTTACAGAGTCAAGGCCAAATCCTGCTCTGAGGTCACAGACCAGCTGAGTCGGGAAGCGCTGAGCTGTTACGGGCAGGGCTGTGCACTGCAGCAGGTACCAGGCTCTGAACTTCTCTCTCCTTGGAGCGCCGAGAGAGTTTGTAAATCCGTGCCAAGCCTGAGCGAGAGCTGTAGGGCTGTTATCCAGATCATTCTTTTATAAAGCACAAATAAAGAGAGCAACATTTCATCTGAACACCTGAACGCTGTATTATGGCTTTTATAGCCAGCCCCAGGGTGCCGGGAGCCGTGGGCTGCTCTGCAAGGCTCTCTGTGCTCTGAAGCAGGAAGAAATAACCGTCCCTGTGGAGAAGCACGACCGCGTTTTGGCTGGGGGTGGAGGGGGACGGGCTGGGGGTGGAAGGGAGTGTTGGCTGAGCTCCACTCTGACATGTCAGCGTTGCGTGACAGCAAACTGCCAGACCCCGAGGAGATCCGGCCCTGCTGGAGCCAGGGGGAGATGAAGCAGAAAAAACCCACCGGGTGTGTTTGCTGAAAGCCTCAGGACCGGGAGCCGGGCAGGGGCTGGCTCGGGAGCAGCTCGCCACGGGTCAGCAAGCGGCGCTGCAAGGGTGTCTCTGCCTCTGCTTTTGAACTTCTTCCAGGGTTTGCAGCACTTAATGGCAGGAGATGATATTGCAGCGGGAGATGGGGGCAGTGGTGCAGGGCTGGCAAATGGCTTTGTCAAAGTTTCCATGGCAGGGAGCTGCTGGCACCCAGCGCAGCCGCCCTTGGGCTGCACCGGCCACGAGGGGAGCGGGGTTGTTCTGCCAAATCCCTTCTGTGCGTGGAAGTGTCTCCTGCTGAAAAAGCTGTCATTTCAGTGCCAAAAAGCTATAAGCTTGTCCAAAAGTTAACTTTTATGCTCCTCCCTTCAGAGGAAATCGTGCTGGCTGCCAGGTGTGCCTTTCCCCAAAACCTGGGGTCTCGATTCATCAAGTTGGTGGTAAGCTGGGGTCGGTGGTGCCTGTCTGGTGTCTCTGCTGGAAAATAAAACCTCTGAGAGCAGCTCCTTCTGCAGAGGCAGCACAAGGCCACGTCGGACACCTGGAGCCAAGCGAGATGCCACGTGGGCTTGGGAGGACCCAGAAGCTTCAGCAGGGAGTGGACCTGGGAGCCCACACCAGCGTCTCCAGGGCCAGAAGCTGATGAAATTACCCGGCAAAAACGAGACACGAGGGAACGGGGCTTCTGCTGCCAGCCCTCACCCTGAGCAGCCTTTGAGCAGCAAGCCAGCATCTGCCTAGGAGCAATTTCTCCGGAGTGAGTGGATACTGCTTATGACAGAGGCAGCCTTAACGTTGCATTACTTCATCTATTTAGCACCTCTCCTCTAATGCCCGGGGGAAGGATAATGGGAAGGAGCGTTGTGGGTTGCTGGGGGCTGGTTGTTATTT